TGAAACTAAGGCCTGAAAAAAATTCAGGCCTGCTCAAGTAGTGTTCATTACTGCAAAGATTGTTTTGATATTCATTTCTTAACCCATAATTCACATAATTTTTGTATGATTTTGATATAACCACAGTTAGGATGATAACAATTGTAAACTTACTGACAATGTCACCCGTTCCTCATCGTTCACTGTTCCTCTCATTCGCAAACTTTTTGCTGTTAAGCATTCAGAATATGAGAAAAAAAAAAAATAATACTACTTCCTCAAAATGTTTCACAATATTACTCATTAGTACTGTGATAGTCTTATTGATGACATTAACATTTCCTGTGAACAGTTACAATAAATTGATTTTGTTTTTGCCATTGTTCATTTATCCAAGAACTATATGAATAATGAAACATGGGTTGAGTAGAAATCTTGAATAGTCTCTTGTCAAGTGCTTTACTTTTGAGATATATCAAGGCATAAAATAGTTTTGCAGACCTTGCAAATGTTAAAACGTATCGCGGGAAATCTTAGTATACTGTCATCTCTACATGCAAGCGCCTACATATTTGAGTCTCATAAAACAAATAGCTGCTCTAAATTAGGCCAACTGGGCATTATTATATTAATAAATGGTTAAATATTATGGTACTATTTCGACATGTACACGGCCCTAGTGCTTTGTAAAACAAAACCATAGTCCATGGTATTTTCCAGTGTTCTTTTTATCCAGGACCTGTATTTATTATGGGGTATGAGCTGTGCAGAAATCAAACCCGTGTTTATGATGCTTGAGTAAATCATGCCATTAGTGATTTTACCTCTTTCTAGAGCGTTCAACCCTGCGTTTAAGACGTCTTGATTCATCACTTGGTTGATACCAGTTTCCGGAATATCTATGGCAACTTGTAGAGCCTCTGGCTGTTTTTTAGGAAGATATCTAAGCAATCTATCCGTTCCTATGCTTGGTGTAGCTACCGCAGTCGCACTGTTATACGACTGGAGTTTTTGTGAGCTATCCATTTTCATTGAGTCGCTCGCTGCACCAATATTTCTATCTCCTTCTTATAAAAGGTTACACAAAAATTTTAACTGTTACAGATACCATATTGCTCTTTAAATATCGCCTTTAGGGCCAAGACGAACACGAAAAATGCTTTAAGTAGATTTGAATAGTCATGCTTGTAATGAAAGGAAGCAAGCAGCCATGTTTTTGAGCCTGCGAATTTCGACACGTACGTAGATCCCAGTCTTCATGTCCGCTAAAATTGTTCAAAGTAATAAGGACTGGGAATGACGTAGTTGAGACAGAATGTGTTGCATACATTATATATTTGAGAAGATGTTATGAATGCAAACACGCGAAAACATGGCCGGCAAGTCTGGTTGGAGAAGACTCTTTAAAGCAGCAATTGTTGGAGAAGTGGTGCTCTTGATAGGATCTTATAGGGTATGGCATCAAATGAACACAAGTAGAGGTCAGCTTCCAAAAACCGATTTTTTTTTAACAATTTAAGTTTATCTATAATGGAAATATGCTAGAGAGGGCTTCTCATTCATCTCAAAATATTGCAGTGAATTAAATCCTCTTAACCATCTACGCCAAGACTTTTCAATGTCTCATATTTCCATCAGATTACAGAAAGTGGATGGATGACAACTACCCTGCCATTCTGGAAGGTTAGTATGATGATTGTTCCACTAACGTTAACGTGATCTGACTGCTATTTCTCCTAACTTTGCCCATGACATAAATTTCTTAATTTGTGGGCTGTTGGCGACAAGTTATATAAAGACATTATCCCCATTATGATACTTTTGGTAGTTCTTACTGATTTTTTTTCTTGAAGGCTTCTACAGATCAGCAGAGTTGGGTGGTTATAGTGGAGCACGTGAGGCTGATGCCGAGGCTTGGGGGAAGTAGAGTGCTTTCCTGATAAGATCAAGGAGACTCTAAACAGCCAGTGTCAACTGCACTGCGCATAGTCAGTTGTATCAATCAAGGAACAAGAAACTGAAAATCATTCCCAGTTGAACTGGAGTGAGCTACTTAAAATGAGCCTCTTTTTGGACAATTGCATGAAGAATAAGAAACTGCCAAACTGGATAAAGTCTGGACCAAAAGTACTCAAAGCTACAAGAAAAATCAATTAGCTTGTGTAGATTAAGAATATTTAAAAGAAACAGGTATAAGAGAAAGCAATGATCAGAAAATGCAACTGTTTAAAAATGTTGATGCTCTTTCTTTGGAATATTTCCTCTAAACAGAACACCATTCGCTTTAGCCAGGTGATGAGGATGATAAGGTATGCCAGATTTCGCACATTGAAAATAGTAAAACAAAATCAAATAAGCTGAACCCACCAAGTGAAGTGAAAGTCATTTGGAGAGAAAAGTCACAAACACCAGTCACTTCATTGTCCCACATCAACACTTTATTTCAAAGAATATTATATTCAACTTTCACCAATCATTAGCCCTTTGATCCCTAACAGTGACTAGTATCTAATTTCTCCTTACAATATCACCCCTAAATCAAACATTAAGGTCACGAGAATAAAGGAAATGATCACCAACCAAAAAAAGGTCTTGATGGTTCAACGAATTCTCATAGTTAGCACCTTAAGAAATCTCTGGAGAACAGTATGGAGAATATGCATACTGATGTAAGGATTAGAGAGTTAACTTGAGGCATTGGATGGACTGACTAGCTTGGGGTGGGCCTGAGAGTGATGCAGACGAAGGATCTGTCTATCAAGTCTTAAAATACAAAGCTTATAAACCCTTCTTACTGAAGTTATAAAACTCAATTATTGTTTAACATGTTCTTCAGAACTGGTTAGAGTCTTAAGGGAGACTCGTGAATGAATATATGACTTCATGCTTGACCATTTTGCCTGTGTTTATAAACTTTCTTGAAGTTTATTTGGGCGCTTGTGCATCAAGCAGTGAGACTCTTGTTAAACCTTAACTTTCCAAAATGAATGTCGCTTCTCCTTGCAATTTAAAAAATATATCAAGCAAACAGGGAGTGTTCTGCGGGAAACTCCAATTTCTTACAATTTTTTTTAACAAGAAAAGGTATACCACCTATACCCTGAAAGTTGAAAGGATAACATTTAAGAGGATTATCTACTTGATTCCTCGTGATCATCTCTCTGATCACAAAAACTTTTCTTGTTTCCACATGAGTTGTAATTGGAAAGATCTGTCAAACTGCTCTCATGGGGGGTAACTTTTTCGTTATTCACATGCAAATCTGAACAGCAATCTGTTTGAGAAGTTCCATATCTATCACTATTCATCATCCCTTCTCCATGTAATATGTTGTTTGCATTTTGACTGTCTTTACTATTATTGCCATCAAGTTGTCGATGAGTCTTTGTAGATCCAGTGGTGTTGACCTCAGTTGCCTTGCACACATTCTCCTGAGTTTCCAAACAATTAGATGAATTACTTGAATTTGCCTTGTGGAGTTTTCTTCTTTTGTGTGAAAACTTGCAAATCTTAGCATCATCACTGCTGGATTCTGTGTTCTCTTTGGATCCCTTTGACTTTCTAGAATCGCTCTCTGAGTGGTTGCTGCTGCTACTACTACTACTATTGCTGCTGCCGCTGCTGTTACTGGTTTCAAAAAGAGAACTGTCTTTATCAGTTCTGTTTTGTATTTTTCGCTGACTATAGTCACTTTCATTTGCACTTTCTGAAGAAGAGGTATCATCTACATTTTTTGATCTGTTTCGAGATCTGTAGTGTCTTTTTGTGTGAGGTTTGTGTCTTTTAAACTGAACTGTAGATTGTGTAGTGTCTTCATCACTCTTGAGATCACTGGGTAATGCAGGTAAAACAACCTTAACACGACTTTCTTCTTCACTGTCTGTACTACTGCTATCTGCATTAAGCAGATCACGAATAACAGCAGTGTCCCTGAGTTTTCTCAGCCGTCTAAGCACACCTTGCCCTGAGCTGTTTGTTGCTGTGTGTCCCTCTAATGTTCCAGGGCTTGGACGATGTAAAAGTTCCCTGAGGAGCAAGTGGCTCATGCTGGTCTCAGTTGTATCGCTATCACTCTCTTCACTGCTATCCGGCTGAAGGATAAAACTAAGATGGAAATCATCTAACAAGCTGTCCTCTGAGTCAGAGTGGAGATTATCTTTCTCACGTTGTATTAGAGAGTCAAAGAAAGCTAACATACGAGGGTCTTCCACTGTTGATTTGCTTTCATATTCATCATGATTAAGAGGTAGACCACCAAACTGAATAAAACTTAGGTAATCGCTATGAGAATAAAGCTCACGGCGGCTTTTATGGCTGGCATCCTTCTTGCTACACCCTCTTGGCACTGGGAAAGGACTCCATACCTGGAGGAAGTAAAGTCCCAGTTTAATTGTCTACAAATATAAAACAACATACCCTAATTAACAAATGGTAAACACCACAGCGTACACTATTGAGTTATGGATGCACACAGGAGGTTGCTAAGCACGAAAGAAGCGTAAGAGTCGCGCGAGGCAATAGCAGAGAATGACGCTAGCTTCTTGAGTGCTTAGCAAACCTCTCAAGTGCATCCATAACTCTATAGTGTGCACTGTGGCGTTTACCATTTGTTTTATAACATAACATTCCTTTGATACATTGTAGCAAAAGAGTTTTCTTTTATTTAACAGATCTTACGTGACCAGAAAAGACAAGCGCGTGTAGAAAACTAGTCTTTCAATTTGCTCACATCAGCAGCGTACACCCATGAGTAAATGGTGGATGCTGAACCGACCAATCAGAGCACACACTTTACTTTGGTTATGTTGTAAATGAAATCACACAGATATATATTTTATCATAATTACAATTGCTTGAGAAGCGTATTGGTAAAGAAATCACTACTCACTCCATGTGCTACTCAGAGCTTTCAATAAGACCAGCAGCTGGCTAAAATGCCTGGCTGATCTGCCATCTTTAGCTAGCTACTTTCATCTCATTCTACCATAATAATAGAATGTTAAATAATCATTCAAATATTGTACACAATACCACTGAAGAAACTTGTACATCAGTCACTTGCCAGTTTTTGAGTGGAATGAATGCATAATATACCAGTAACCACTTCAGATATGTGAATTGATTCCCATTAAGAATTTGCTTGAGGGTTTGTGCAAACTTTATGGTAAAATTATCTGACAACAAATCAGTGTCCACAAAAACTAGCCATCAGCTAGTTCTTCCTTGCCTTCTACTCTCAAACTTAATGACAATAAAACTAACCTTTATCACTTTCTCTACCCCTGCTGATAAGAGCATATGTGTCTCAGGGTTGAAGCGAACCTGGTTAACAATAGAGCGGTGACCATGAAGTACCATGAATGCCCTACCAATAGTCAGCACCTCATTGTGATCTGCCCAATCATCTGGCACTTCCCAAATGTAAATATTGAAGTCGTCTGAGCCAGAGACAACAAACTGAGAGATAGCACATACAAAAACAGCTGTCAATCTGAGACAGTGGCCCAAAAGTTAGTGCACTGCCTAGTTGCTGAGTCTGCCACAATTCTAAATCATCAAACAATCAGTGTGATCACAATTTCTGTGGTTTGATAATATCCACAAACAAGGAGACAGACAACAATGCTGCTTAAGCCTTAACAAGGTTACATATTTTTTCCCCTTAGGGAAGCTACCCTCTCTTTAATAGTGCCCCCTCCCAGGTTGTAAATGCTATAAAATAAAAGGAAAACATGTTTTGCAGGTCACAATCAGCTGTTGTTTGATGCAGTACACAGTAAAATAATCACCTAACCCAATGATTTTTTACCACTCACCCCCTGAAGAAAGTTACTCTTTCTTGAACAGTGCCCCTCCTACCCAGGTTAAAAATGCTATAAACTAAAAAGAAAACAAGTTTTGCAGCTCACAGTCAAATGTTGTTTGACACGGCACACAGTAAAATAATCACCTGATCTTTACTTCCGGCAAAACAGTTGCTTTTCATGGTGCACACATTATTGTAACCAGGGTGGTGGAACTCTGCCACAGCTGATGACTGAGTCACATGATAGAGAACTGGAGGAAGACGGCGACGAAGGGCAGTTATCATGTCACCTGTTTTATTCCATTTTAACCCCATGGCACACATCTGAGGTGCTCCATAACTGAACTGCCTTAAACAACTAATTAAAATAATAATTAAAAACTGATTATTATTTTATGTTAACAATTTGAAAAAAAAATTATTCAACTACCTCTGTAAATATCTCATTATGATGTTGTCAGGTTTTTCTTTGTTACCTGTAAGGTTGTAGTTACAAGCCTGTTGTAGTGTTCCATTATTACCAGGGGTTTATGTTATTTCTATAGCGCGAAGCAACTAAGAGCGCTTCTACATACCCCTCCTTGACATGTTGTTGGTCCATGGTGGGTCCCCCCCCTACCAAGACACTTACCAAGTTTCTATCACACCTTGATTCAGAGTCCAATGCACAAATAACTAGGTTTCTGTTTCTTCCGCTTATCCAAGTACAAATTTGACAATTTTCCAGAAAACTGAGTGAAACAATTAACAAACAACCCTAATGAAGCTAGGAAGGAATGATTTTTCCGACTGATGGACATTTTTACCAGCTAACATGATTTCTAATATAAAAATAATTTTTTAAATCAGGGAGGTTGGAACATGCTTTTTTTGACCTGTAGAGTGAAAAGTGTGGAACAATTTGTAACATACCTTATTGGAACCCTGATGTCCCAAAGCTGGACACCCTTCTTGGAGTTAGCTGTTGCAATCAAACTAGGATCCACTGGATTGAAAACAGCAGCATGGAAAGCTGCTTCATGATGAGCAATACACATTGAAGAACCTGCGAGCACATTAACTGGGTTACCTTAATGTGTGTTGATGCCTTTACAACAGTTTGAAAAAAATGGGGCAAAAATGTTCCATACCACTAACTGGAGATGTCCTTATATCCCAAAGCATAACTTTTCCATCATCAGAAGCTGTAAGGAACACATTGTTATCCTCTGGGTGAATATTAAGTCCATAAACTGGGTCATCATGATAGTACATACCAACTGTCTCACCACTAAAATATAATCCAGGAGGAAAAAATGTTAAAAGCAAGGATAAATGAGATATTTAGAAGGCTAAATATTTACTTATACAGTCATTTCATGCTTATCTATTCATTTATTTATTACTAGTATTTATTATGTATATGTGCACGATCCTTCGCAGTAAAGCACTATTTGAGCAATAGTGAAAATCAGGCCTGAAAAAAATTTCAGGCCTGTACGGGATTCGAACCACTGACCTCTGCGATACTAGTGCAGCGCTCTACCAATTGAGCTAACAAGCCAACTGGGAGCAGGCCATCAAATTAATTCGACATAAACCCGTAGATAATATATCAAACAACAACAGGCCTGAAATTTTTTTTCAGGTCTGATTTTCACTATTGCTCAAATAGTGCTTTACTGCTAAGGATCGTGCACATATACGTTTCATAACCGCAGTTCATACATATGTTTCATATGTTTGTTGTTGTTTGAAGTATTTATTATAATAATTAATATTAGGATATATTTTTAGATGTAAATATATCATAGTGTAAAGTAGACAGCAGGTCCACATCAGTAATAGCTGCCATCTACTCAACCTGCTTTACCAAATAAAGGATGTATGTATGCTGTATAAATTAGCTAAGTAGCAGATAGGATAGCTTAATGAACGGTTTATGTGCTGGACTCCATGCCCCAGTTGTTTGAAGGATAGATAATGCTATCCAGTAGATAAATCTCTATCCGGTGGATAGTGCAGTATGTTTTGGTAACACTTATCCGCTGGATAGCGATTTATCTGTTGGTTAGCGTTATCCACCCTTTGAACAACCGGAGCGTGGTTCAGAGAGCTCGGTTAACCCTTTAACTACCAATATCTGATTGTTAATTCTCCTCTCTAGCTGCTACACATTGTCTTGTTAATTGGTTATGAGAATTTAGCATTCAATCATGGTAACAACTTGCACCTGATAAGTTTGAGAATTCTCACTACCTGTTTGCTGGATAATGTATGGATATTAAAGGTTGAAATTGAACCCTTTAACTACCAATATCTGATTGTTAATTCTCCCCTCCAGCTGATACACATTTTCCTTCGAGAATTTGGTGTTCAGTCATTAGGTAACAACTTCTACCTGATGTGTTGTAGTACTCACACTATCTGTTTACTGGATAATGTATGGATATTATAGGGAGAAGTTACATGTTCATCACTTCTGGGAGTTAAAGGATTAAAGACCTGGCCAGGTCACTTTGCTTTCATAGTGCCCCTCCCCACCCTAGGGTCACTTTACTTTCACAGTGCCCCTCCCCACCCAAGGGTCACTTTGCTTTCATAGTGCCCCTCCCTACCCAAGGGTCACTTTGCTTTCACAGTGCCCCTCCCCACCCAAGGGTCACTTTGCTTTCATAGTGCCCCTTCCCACCCTAGGGTCACTTTACTTTCACAGTGCCCCTCCCCACCCAAGGGTCACTTTGCTTTCATGGTGCCCCTCCCTACCCAAGGGTCACTTTGCTTACACAGTGCCCCTCCCCACCCAAGGGTCACTTTGCTTTCATAGTGCCCCTCCCCACCCAAGAGTATTGCTGGTCCTTTACAGGTCACCTGATAATTGTCTGGTTTACCAACAGTTTGTAAATACCTATTACATGCTCATGAGTTAAGAGAGGCACTGTGTTCAATAAAGAATACAAATGAGATAATCCAAGTTGCAATCAAAACAAATATAGATGTGTTGGTTTGGTTGCTTTAGTTCTTTCTTATTGGAATAAGTTTTTAGTGTTACAAAACGTCACACAATTGTTCAAGAATGGTAGCGTACTTACGTTGTGAAATCATGTCGAAGGGCTTGATTGTCATTGCCTATTAAAATAAAAAGTACTGATAAGAAATGCTTGCACTACACAGATTGACAATCAAATACTTTGGTACCATAATGCTTACTGCATCAAATTTTCATGTCTGAAACAAAATGTGGCTTGATTCGAAACATAACATCCAATTTGGATGCTGATATAATATTCCTGTAAGTTGTACTTGTGATTATGTACTAATATTATGAACAGAAATTTGAAATAGATCCCTCTTGAACCTTAAGGAATTATAAACCTACCAGCAGAAAAAATGTGCCTGTTATCGTTGTCAAAAACAGTACAAAAAATGTTAGACTTGTGTTCTCCTTTCATTGACACAGGAGGTTGAGTTCCATATACACACTTTTTGATGTTCCATACCACAACACGACGATCATCACCACCTTAAAACAAAGGGTTGAACAAAATAAACTTCTACCTGACTAGACCTATTCTAAGCCTTTTAAATGTAGTTTTGCAATGCAAAAATTTCACTCAACCTTCTATTCCCAAGATCTCTTTAGTAATTCTCCTTTGTCTACCATACAATTCTTATAATGTTAGTTCTGAGAATTTGGTATTGGATCAACTACTAATCTCCTAATTGATATTTATATTTAGTCTCATCACTTGTCTGCTTAATATTGTACTGATATTGTTAGGAGAAATTCTGTCTTGGTCACCCATTGAAGGTTAAAGGGTTAAGAGGATTTCCCTTGCAGAAAAGGGAGAACATAAAAGTTATGTTGAGGTAAGATTGGATATCCAGAGGGATATTTTTGGCTTTTTGGCCGCACCTGGCAGTGCCACTTACAACAAGGTTCGAGTCACGTGAATAAAACATGCAATTAATTGAGTAAGACAAGATGGATTCGCATCAGCCAATAAGAGCGCACGATAAACAAAAAAGTCATAATACTAAAAATATCCCATCCAAACCTGAAACAATGAATTCTCCGCCATTATTTGAGAATTCTACAGCATTTACGCAACCATAATGTCCCAATAAATCAAGGTGATAAAGGCTAGAGCACCGAGCAAAGTAATCTGACAAGAACGACCTGTGTACCGCAGAACAGCCGTACGTTTCTGCTAAGCTCTGGTATTGAGGAAAGCTTGAAAGGTGACTAACAGTGCCTCCGCGCCCAGGATAATTTTTAAACGACATTTCGTAACGCTTAGTCGCTTCCGAAGGATTTTACAGAGATAAAAGTAAGGATGTCACGGTTTCCACCTCACAGAAGCAAACCATCTCTTATTGAACGCAAACATTGCGAGGACCACCCGAGTAACCCCAGTGAGAGTTTGGGTCCTAGTACCTAGTATTTCGTTTTCAGTCTTTTTTCCGAGTTTGTAAAGGAAGTGGCTACCAAGTTGCCGTTGCTAAGAAGATTCAAACAAAATTATCGAAATTATGAAATTATTTCTGAGGCAACGTGCAAAATCAGGGTTTAAATTAAGGCGAGTGATCATTCCAGCCGACTGATATGGAGTCCCTGAAGAAGGAATTAGCAAAAATTCAAGTTACTGCACCAGATATCAGTTCACTACCGTGAGTTCTTGTCATCTCTCACCTCAGCTTATAATTTCCAGAGTGCAAGTTTGAGTACGAATCGATCTCTTAATGCATTCACCTACAGCAAGGCGATTTCTTGTACATGTATGCAGGGGCGCACATAAGAACTTCTTAGATCATCCTTGTTAAAGAGTCCCCCTTCCCCCTTAAAGACCGGGCTTGTGTCCTCTGTACTATGATAAAGTGTGCCGCTGGAATAATCCTTCATTTAATTATTGTGACACAAAAATCAAACTTATGTACAAAATCTATGTACATTCAACATATATTTTCTGATCTCTTGCAGAAACAAAGATGCACGCAGGGCCTCTCTTCCTGATTCCTACAAGTCTAATACCCCAAAAGAGAAGCTTCTGCTGTCATTTTGTGAAAATTTCAGACGTCAATTTGTTCACCTCTATCGTGATCGCAAGCCATTGTTCCTAAATCCTGTGAATGAATGTGGAATTGAGGTAATAGGACAGGGGAACTACCACAGCGAAAAATTAACAAGAGAACAATCATCATTTCGACAGAAACCCCTTAACTTTTCTTTGAATTAAGATTTTCCCTGTTTTGTAGTGAAAATATATTAAATACTTACGTACTCCTGTCCGAGAGATTAAGCTAACTAAACACACATGAGACTTATGAATTGTTCTGAACTAGATTGCTGCATTTCATTTAAAATAAATACTGGATAATTTAAAAACTAATATGGCGGACGGTCACGTTTTTAGAGCTCTTAGATACTGGATCATTCTGCTTTATTTCTACGTTTGTTTCTCTGGTGCACTCCTTCCCAAGACTAATCCTGACCTCGATATATCTGGTGATACTCTTCTCTTCATTTCTCACGGTCTGACGACAGTGAAAATTCAACATTTTAACCATCGGTCACCGAGCTCGCAACATGCAAAGAATCTCCAGCTGCCGAATTCAAGACTTCTACTCCTTGGATGCCGTTTTACGATTAATTCCTCTCTTTCCTTACTACTTATTCGTCTCGCAAATGATGTTGAACTTCAACCTGGTCCTGTTGGCTCCTCTAGTTCACATGACATCCTGTCTGATCTTCGGGATTTGTCAACGAAAAATGGGCTTAAAATTATTCATCAAAATATCAGAGGCCTCGTGGCGAATAAGGATAGTCTATGCCAAATGATCGATGATTCCAAGCATATAGACATCATATCCCTCAGTGAGACTCATCTATCGGACAGTGAAGAGGCTCAAGTTCAACTGGATGGCTATACGTTCATTAATAGACCGAGGAAAACAGGCAAAGGTGGAGGTGTGGGAGTTTATATCTCCTCTTCTGTCCCCTTTCATAGAAGACTAGACCTGGAACGCGATGGGATCGAATGTATCTGGATAGAAATTCTATTTCCAAAATCTAAGGGTATCCTTATTGGTTTTATTTATCGCCCCCCGAGTTCTTCAAAGCATCTTTGTGCAGATTTTGAAAATAAACTGGAGTCGATGCTTTCTGCTGTATCATCTGAAAACAAAGAATGCATTTTGACAGGCGATATCAACTGCAATTATTTGGTAAGCTCAGACAACAAAGAACTGAAGGCAATGCTATTGTCTTTTGGCCTTAAACAGCTAATCAAGGATCCCACGAGGGTAACGCAAGATTCAAAAACACTGCTAGATGTGATTTACACAAATCGCCCTCAGAATGTTTATAGTGTTAAAACCATTCCCGCCGGCTTAAGTGACCATGATATGATTGGTTGTGTCCGGAAGCTGCATAACCATAAATTCCAGCCAAGAACCATCACCTGTCGAAACTATGCTAATTATGATCCTATATCCTTTTGCAATGATTTACGGTCCAATAGTCTCACACCTGTCTTTAAATCCTCCTGTGTTAATGAAGCATGGTCTTTTTTGAAAGCCATTCTGAAAAAATGTATTGATAAGCATGCGCCAGCTATAAAGAAGAGGATCAAAGGGAAACTCTGCCCATGGCTTACACAGAAGGTAAAGCAAGAAATGAATACCAAAGATCAGCTTTTGAGAAAAGCGAGAAAGACAAATCGTGAAATTGACTGGTCTTCGTACAAGCGCCAACGAAACAAAGTTAACGGTATGGTAAAAAATTGCAAAAGCAGGTATCACCGTGAACTCTTAGAGGAGACTGTGGGTTCACCTAACAAATTTTGGTCAGCTATTAAAAAACTATACCCTACAAAGTCTACAAAGGAACCAGGAGCAGCTTTTCTCGTTAATGGAGCAGTAGAAACCGACAAAGAGGTTATTGCAAATTCGTTCTGCAAATTCTTCACTGATGTTGCGGGATCTCTAAAAAGAAAGATCTTCCCTCTTTGTAATTTTGTCTGGAAAAGGCCCCTTACAATAGACACTCAGCAGCCGCTAGAGAACTTTGAGTTTAGATCAGTCTCGGATAAGGTTGTCTTTAATGCATTAAAGAGCCTTAAGAGAAATAAGTCCTCTGGCCTTGACAACTTTCCTTCTGGAATGTTAAAGGACTCTGCTGATATAATAGCCAAGCCTCTCACGCATATAATTAACCTGTCTCTCGCAACAGGGTCTATACCTACTGACTGGAAAGCGGCTAAAATTGTACCACTTTTTAAATCTGGTTCAATGGCCGAAATCGACAATTATAGGCCTATTTCAATACTTCCTTCAATGTCAAAGATCCTGGAGAAAGTGGTATTTAAGCAGCTGATGGCTCATTTTGAACAGAATGGTCTACTTTCTCATTTTCAGTACGGCTTCCGTCGCATGCGCTCTACTGAACTGGCCGTTACTCATCTAACCGATGTTATCAGAAGAGAAGGTGAGAATGGTAACCTGACAGGCTGTGTTTTCATCGATCTATCAAAGGCGTTTGACACCATCAGTCACTCTGGCCTCCTGAGCAAGCTTTCAACTTACGGAGTTCGTGGAACAGAACTCGCATGGTTCACTGATTACCTTTTCTGCAGATCACAAGTTGTCCAATATAAAGGCGTGCTATCAGAACCTCAACCCATTCTCACAGGTGTTCCTCAGGGAAGTATCCTGGGTCCTATCTTATTCATTATCTTTTTCAACGATGTACATAAACCGCTTCAACACTCGAAGATTATCACTTATGCCGACGATTCAGTCATCTATACCTCTTCTAAAGATATTGATACTATACAGAGAAGCCTTAGCGAGGATATGAATAACCTGTGCGAGTGGTTTAAAGACAACGAACTGATCATTAACCTAAAAAAGGACAAGACGGAGTCTATGTTATTTGGAACAGCTAAAAGAATCAACCTTCAAGACAAGGAACTTAAACTTTCTGTTAATGGGACACTCATCAATAACACCTCTACCTATAAGTACTTAGGTGTTCACCTTGACTCATCACTAAACCTTGCATCACATTTTGACCGAATCTATAAAAAAGCTGCAACCAGAATTAATCTCTTGCGATCAATTCGTCCTTTGATCGACCAAAAGTGTGCAGAATCGATCTATAACACTATGATCGCACCTATTTTTACCTATTGCGGAACACTTGGTCTTAGCTTTCCGGATTACCGAAAGGAAATGATAAAGAACATCGAACGACGAGGCTTTAAAGTTATTGGCAATAGTTCTTTTAATCCCCCATCCGTGAACAATTTGATCAAGCGTAAAAGCTGTTTGTTTGTTTTCGACTGTCTCCTGAATAATGTTTGCACACCCTTTAAGAACTACTTCGAAAGACTGGTTCATTCTAAGGCCACTAGGAATAACGGTATATCAGTGAAATTACCCAAAGTACGTTTAGAATTTGGTAAAAAGAGCTTCTATTACCAAGGAGCAAAGACTTTCAACAACCTGCCTGCTGAACTAAGGTNGCAAAAGCAGGTATCACCGTGAACTCTTAGAGGAGACTGTGGGTTCACCTAACAAATTTTGGTCAGCTATTAAAAAACTATACCCTACAAAGTCTACAAAGGAACCAGGAGCAGCTTTTCTCGTTAATGGAGCAGTAGAAACCGACAAAGAGGTTATTGCAAATTCGTTCTGCAAATTCTTCACTGATGTTGCGGGATCTCTAAAAAGAAAGATCTTCCCTCTTTGTAATTTTGTCTGGAAAAGGCCCCTTACAATAGACACTCAGCAGCCGCTAGAGAACTTTGAGTTTAGATCAGTCTCGGATAAGGTTGTCTTTAATGCATTAAAGAGCCTTAAGAGAAATAAGTCCTCTGGCCTTGACAACTTTCCTTCTGGAATGTTAAAGGACTCTGCTGATATAATAGCCAAGCCTCTCACGCATATAATTAACCTGTCTCTCGCAACAGGGTCTATACCTACTGACTGGAAAGCGGCTAAAATTGTACCACTTTTTAAATCTGGTTCAATGGCCGAAATCGACAATTATAGGCCTATTTCAATACTTCCTTCAATGTCAAAGATCCTGGAGAAAGTGGTATTTAAGCAGCTGATGGCTCATTTTGAACAGAATGGTCTACTTTCTCATTTTCAGTACGGCTTCCGTCGCATGCGCTCTACTGAACTGGCCGTTACTCATCTAACCGATGTTATCAGAAGAGAAGGTGAGAATGGTAACCTGACAGGCTGTGTTTTCATCGATCTATCAAAGGCGTTTGACACCATCAGTCACTCTGGCCTCCTGAGCAAGCTTTCAACTTACGGAGTTCGTGGAACAGAACTCGCATGGTTCACTGATTACCTTTTCTGCAGATCACAAGTTGTCCAA